ATAGATAGATACCATAGATAGATGGATACTATGGATAGATGGATGGATGGATGGATGGATGGATGGATGGATGGATGGATGGATGGATGGATAGATAGATAGATAGATAGAGATAGAGAGTGAGAAAGATATAGAAATAAACAGAGGTAGAGAAATAGAGAGATAGATATATAGATAGATAGGAGAGATGATATAGAAACATTCAAAAGTGTTCTATATATAAAAGTATTGTATTTTAGGAATTCATCTTAGCGCTATGGCTTAGCGGTAAAAGACGCTGGGCTTGTCAGATGAGAGCTGACAGCCCGGGTTCGAGACCTGACCTCCATAGAACAGGGTGAGCTCCCGCAAAATACAATGCAAGCACCCCCCGAGCATGCGCCCTGTGCATGCACATGCATGTTCCCCTACATGTCCCCTGCCTCCTGCACAAGCACGGCAGAGACCCGAAGACCGGCTGGCCCAGTGGGAGACACATGGGCATGCGCAGTAGGGCTGGGCTGGGCTGACAGCTGCCGTGCCCGCAGAGAGGGCTCTCCATGCCACCTGTGGCAAGCGTGCCATAGGTTCGCCATCACGGCTGTCCGATCCTCTCTTAAAAACCTCCGGTGATGGAGGACCCACGACTTGCGAATGCAGAGTACGATATGTTAAAGTAAAAAAAAAATGAAGTTGCGTGTGGGAACCAGGGAATGAGACATCAGAAAGGAGCCAGAAGGCTTGCGAACAAAATTTCCTGCACGAAACTAAACCTTGGGAGACCAAAGCTTTGACTTCTTCCATTGGGGGATTTCGGCAAGGCTGTTGCCTGTGATCTTTCCTCTCCACCAAGAGATCCCGCAGAGGAAATTAACACGCTGCGAGGGGGAAACCGTTATTGATCTGACATTTCTCTCCTCTTTATTTACTTAAGCCTCTATTTGCTAAACGGAAGGTAAACCTCAGCTCCTCTCCAAAGAGAGAGGCTCAAACAGTGCAGGGGGCAACTCAGGCAGTTTTTACCTGCCGTTTCAATTTCACGATCATCTCTGTTCCTTCCCGCACACAGTTTTTGTACACGGTTACGATGCCACAAGTGGGTTCTGTGCGGGGCAGCAACGGGTGACGGTTAATTAACCTCGCCAGCCAAAAGTGTGGCTGCAAATCACAATCGCAGCTGTCTCTCTCTCTCTCTAACGTAACGTTTCCATCTCTATAGTGTAACGTTTTTGCCCCTTGCCGCCTCTTTATACAGCGTATAATTAATCTTTTCTTCCCTTCATATCAGATTTGTTATTTTTTTGTGGGGCTGGGGGGGGGGGAAGAGTTTCGTTGTTTGGATTGCCGTACCTGGCTTTAAAAAGAGGGAATTAGGTGCAAATGGATATGTATCCCTTTTATCATGCAGGTGTGCAGCTGACAATTGCTCTGGAGCAGGTTTTCAGTTTCGTTCGATTTATGAAACCGTAGGATCCACCCTTCCGTAAAAATGGGGAAAGTAAATAAATCAAATGATTCCAGAATACCAGGGGGATACTGAGCAGGAGATGCTACTAGCTTTAGCACTGAAGATTAAAAGTATTTCGAAATATTACTCTGGAGATTAAAATATTGAAATACATTTAAAAGGGAGATCTGGTGTGGGTTAGAGGTTAGGGTACTGGACGAGCCCCCCCCCCCTTGTAACCAGCTGAGTGGCTACTCTAACCCTAACCCTAAAGTATATACAGAAGAGTAGAGTAGAACAGAACAAAACAGATATAGATATAGATAATATATACAGAATAGAGAATGGAATAGAATGGCATAGAATAGAATAGAATAGAATAGAATAGGAATAGGAATAGGAATAGGAATAGGATAGAATTCAGAATAGAATTCAGAATAGGAATAGAATAGAATAGAATAAATTGGAATGGAATGGAATAATATAGAATAGAATAGAGTTCAGAATAGAATTCAGAATAGAATTCAGAATAGGATTCAGAATAGAATTCAGAATAGAATTCAGAATAGA